CCTCTCGACGGAATGTAGCTTCAGGCGCACGCCCAGCTCGAAGCTCGCCTCCAAATGGAGCAGCCGATGATTCTTCTTTTGCCTGGGGCCGGAACCCAAGGAACCCAAGGATTCCAAATCGAAGCAAACGACAGGTGCCTCTTGATCCAAATCGTGCCCTTGAGTGTGTCTCCACTTCTGGCTTGCAGCGGAGGGTAAAAGCCAAAGAGCCTCAGACTCTCACGGATTTGGCCCAAAGTGTCAGACTTGATCGAGTCCCCAGCTGCTGCCCCCAATGAGTGGCAGTCTCTGTCGTTGGGGCCGTTGTTAGCTGCACTTCCTGCTCTGGCCAGGCACTGCATCATTTCATAAAATCCCCCCTGAGGCTGCGTAATGAGCCTCTTTCGCTGGGTTTTCCTTTGAGCCGCTGAAGTCTACGTCAAAGTACCTGCGTTCTAAGCCGCGCCCTCGCCCCAGAAAGCCGCCCAATGGGCACCCCACGAAGCCTTCAATCTGTGTGTCTTTGCTTATCCTTGCAGTGGCCAGCTGCCATCACCGCAGCGGATCATGCCACAGTAAGTCCTCATCGAGCAAGTGCATGGCTTGTCAGCTCCCTGCGCAGGAACAGTCTATATCAACCGCCAACTTCCCTCACATCAATCGAACATCTGGCTGCAGCACCTAACATGCTGCCTTCAGATCCTCCAGGGTGGCGGTAAGCAGGTCCAGGCGCAGCAAGGGGCTTCCATCGCCAACTAGCTGCTTTGGCCTAACAAATGTTCAAGTTCTCGCAAACCCGTCTAGGCCAGGGCCGCGACGAGAGATTCACAAACATACCGGTCTGCAAGTAGTACCTGCAAAGCGAAGCTGAGCTGCCCCTGATCGACCCGGAAAACATGTGAGAGCAGCCAGTTCAGCATGAGACCGGCTGGATGCAGCAAGCACAAGCCACCCGGGCACTTCCGCTGCTCTTCCAGGAACTCGTCGCGCATGCAAGCAAAGTCCGTCCCGTACCATTTCCGCATCGTGCCGTTGAAGTCTTCCCAGTGCCTTATGGATGCCTTTTGGATGTCTCTAGGACAGCTCACAAAGCCCCCGGGCAGCACTGACCAAGTCCGGCACTGCCTTTCCCCATCGAAAGACTGCTGCTTCTCCCGGCATGCTTTGGCCGCCCCCACCGGCGCCAAATAGAGCGTTGCATGTGAAGGGAACAGAGCGCCTCCTGACATTACATATTCCACCAGCTGCACTGCTTGGAACAGGACAAGCCTGGCTTGAGGAAGCGGTCCCTTGCAATGAGCACACCTTGGTCATTTGCTAGCTGCCCAAGGAAAGCTGAAGGCGAAACACGGTAGCATGTACACAGAGACAAGCTTGAATCAAAACCAATTCACGTCCGCTCGGTCATAGACCAGATTGTGGCACAGGGTTCATAACATGGGTGTTTTGTGTGTGCGTGTGCGCTTTGGCTTGCTCTCTTCCCTGATCACGTGCAAATCTGAACTGTCATCTTGACCAAAGGCTGGAAATTGAGCAGCAGGCGCGACATGCACCAACCGAGGCGACTGCAATTCCAAATGCAAGTCAGGAGCTATCGAGCATGCTTTCGCGTAAAAGCAAATAACCCATCCACTCCTCGTGTTGCGCATTGGGCTCGAATACTCAAGTCAAACATCGATGCTGCACAGTCTTCATACATGCAGCCCAGAATCACTGATAATGACATCCACCTTGCTTGGCAATGTTACTGTTTCCTTGGAAGCTCAAGCAGTGACCAACAATATCATCGCATCGTCAGCAATCCTCTTGAACAAGTCGAGTTTCTACGGTGCCTTGAAGCACTTTGATGATGTGGCCCATTCCTGAAAGTGGCACAAGGGGCCGCCACAAATCCTGCAATGTACAAGCAATCCTTGAGCTTCAACAATCTTCCGCCCACGAATCGCCATGTCGGTTGCCTGCCGCTTTGCAAGATGCACTTGTGCCCCCGCCCCCCAAAACCAGCTGAGATCAGGCCTCCACTGCAAAAACTTCTTTGGCACCTGCCTTTGCAGCAAAAATGGACCTGGTACAGGCCACATAAATCTCTGCAACTGACCCTGAACCAGCTGACATGCATCAGGAGCCATTTGGCGCTACTAAGACTGTGCTATGTCAGCAAGTTCGAGTACAATAACACTGCAGCCAAGCTGCAAGATACAGGTTCCTGCGCCGACGTCTAGCACCTCGGTCACATGTCCGAACGCAATGACACAATAGCTATGACATCTGAATGTCCAAGCGCTGCTACCTATGCCGCTGACCACTTTGTCCTTGAAGCTAGCAGGATTCCACCTCAAGCGAAGCCAGAGCACTGCCACAATCGCATTCCGTGCATTTGCCCGAGGCGCGTGATAGCGTTGAAGTAGGCGCCCGTGCGGTGCGCGTCCTTGCCAACCACTTCCAAAGGACCAAACTAAACTGAGGCAGAAAGTGTCAGCTCGGAGCCTCCAACATGTCCATTTGGTGGTAAAGGAAAGCATATTCGCAAAAATAGTTTGCATTGTCCTAGGCTCAGGGCAGCTCCAGGTCTGAGCGTATCAAAATGGCGGACTAGTGACTCGGCCGTCCAAAAGATACCTGATCTTTTTGCGTCTGATGTTGGTGACATTGGCTGAGCGGAGGTACGCCCGGACTGCAGGTGGAAGCTTGCCAAATAGCTCTTCTCACTGCAATGGAGACTCTGTTGCATCAGGCGGCTTGCCATCTTTCAGTGAACCTGCACAGCCAAAGAGAGTCTCACTCATGCGGCAGCTGCATGCTGGGCTGGCCTAAACCATATCCATCAGACACATCAACTTTGTGCGTCATCGAGGCGGCGAAGCAAGCAAGATGTCACTGCTTTGACTTACTGAGCTACAGCTTTGAACAAAATTGAAGCTTTTGGGTTAACGAAGGCGGGCACTGTTTGAGCATGCTTAAGTTGAATGCATAATTATGCGCCCCATGGCTTTCTCAAAGCCATCAGGGCGGCAGCATGTTCTCGACAAAATGCAGCGAACGGTCGGTGAAAGAACTCCGGTGAACGCTGGTGCTTCTCTGGTTTCTTTGTTTTGCTCGTCGCGAGCCTCGCGAGCCCCGCATCTAGTGCTAGCATCAAGTTTTAACCCCTTTGCGATTGCAAAGAGGAAAGAGAAGCGCAGCTTCCGAGGACCAAGCACCTGCTTCTGAGGTGTGGGCCACGGTGCTCACAGGCCTCGCGGAACTCGCCAAATCCGGGCTGTACCCCTGGGCCACAAGAATTCATCCAGCGCAAGTCAATGCAAAGCTTAAGGCCTGTCTGGGTACTCAATCTCTACCTCGGACTCAAATTCGGCCTGTGCTTTAACCCAAATTGCTCCTTCTGAGGTCCCCACGAGCTCGGCGACCGAATGGAGGTCTGGATGTATATAATGCGGGCGGGGGAGCTCAGGTGGCGGCCTGGCGGCGGTGTTGCCAAACCCAAAATATTGGCGTTGGAGATGGCCTGGGCTCATACCGCAAGATCACGCCACCATCGCGGGTGTAACCTCCCAGGCTGAAACTAAATCGCTTCTGCGGGGACATGCCGCCAGCGCACCAAATGCTCGCGGTGAGTGAGTCCTGGTGTCCGCCTGCCAAGGCGAAAAGACTGTCTAAGCTGCAGCTCCCAAGAACAATCAGCAGATCCACCCAATTCCACGGCCAAGGGGTCGCCAAAGTGTCGCCTCCACCGCCTCGTGGTGCACACGCCCTTGGGAGCGGACGAGGGAACGCACCTCATGTTACACGCTTCCACTCAAGCAGCTACACAGGGCCAAAGCTTTGGCGAGGCACATCAACTCGGCAAAGGGGGCACGTCACATTCTGCATCAGCCAGGGGCGCACGCAGTCGTTGTGGAAGGTGTGCCGCGCGGCACACGGCAGCTGCACCGCCTCCTGGACAAACAACACTGTGGCCAGCAGCGTTGCAACAAATCGCCCGCACACGGCTTCCCACATCCCCCACCTCGCTGGGGAGCAGGTGGGCCAGGCAAATTGAACACTCCACACTGTCACTGCCGTCTGGCCGTCGGCGAGAAAGGGCACTCAGGTCGGTGTCATCAAAGCGTTCGACAGAGGGCATAGCTGTAGGATCCTGGTGTAATTATGTTTGGAAGTTTAACGGAATGTAGGAAGCCAAAAAAACATGGCCATCATCCGACAGGATGATGTTACTCCAGCCAAGCGACATCGCCAACAATGCCATCCAACGGCACATCACCTCTACGAGCATCAAGCCGCTCGAAGTAGTCTTCCAGGTCTTCTAATACCTGTTAAGTTGCTGGGTCCCAGATCAAGACTGACGCGTCTCTTCCATGAACAAAAAAACCTTGAGTAGAGAAAAGTGCTTTATCGTAGTACAGACATAATATGTTCATAATTCGCTCGAAAAGAGTGCCAGCACCTCCAAGGTGCATTTTCTGGCGCTCCTTCTGTGGCATGGCTTGCGCCGGTTGGCACATGCCGCTGCGGTGAAGCGAGGCCGTCTTCCTGGCATGATAAATTCGATTTCAAGCGGTTTGCAATGCTGCTGAACATCGGCAGCCGAAACAGATGCAAGGCCAAGTGGCACTGTCCGACGTGTCAATGTGGTCGAACCGAGAGTAATCCACCATCAGCCCACTGCGCTGCCCACGCGAAATGCATGACCAGACATAGCTGACGTGGGTTGACATTGCCAACTTTGTACCAAAGCTGCATATGAATAGAGCTTGTGGAGGAATGGGAGTGTAAACTGGACACTGCTGATGAGTTGTCAAGTGATTGGTTTTCGCGGGATCTGCAAACGCTGGCTCTCCGATTGGTGCTGAACGCTTCCGAGGCAAGAGTGCGCTGAGGGTTACAAGCGAATTCGGACCTCCCCAATCGATGGATGCTCGCCGTTGAAACTTGTCCTTAATTGTTACTACGGTGTCTTTTGGTTGTGACATGTTCTATGTTTTTCTTAGCGGCCTTCTTGGGTCTCTCTATTGCGCCTTCTCTTTTTTGTGCCTGCTTATCCCCGTTTTACGAGGATGTTGTTTTCAAGATCCTTCTTCCACCTGGTCTTTCTCCGTGCTACATTTTTGAGCAAATTAGTTTGCCTTCCGTTTGAGTGTCACTCTTACACCTTTATGCCCTGGCGTGCCCTGTTGAAACCATTCGCTGCTCGTGCTCCCAGCTTCACCCAAGGGCAGACAACATGGATGTTACAGGCGCACGCACATTGATTCAGTCAAGCTGAACAGGTCCCCGCATCAGGCTACTACACAGTACATGAAAAATTATTGCTGGGTGCCGCCCTACGCTGGCCTTAACAAAGCCACGTCAGCTTAGCCTTTGCAAAATTGAAGCAGTTAGTAACCGGTCGTGCTTGGGCACGCAGCATGGAGAAGAACAAATAGCCATCCACGATGTTTCCAGCGCCTCGGGGCTGCAAAGGTTTGCGCGCGGAGCCGTTGCGGAAAGGTGTGGAAAATTGCAAAAATTTGCTGAAGTCGTTTCATGTAATGGAAGCCTTACATGCGGAAGGAACACGAATAGGAAGCGAGGTGCAACTCAGCACCCACACATTGCAACATGTTCGTGACAAACTGGTTGGCGCGTTTCTGAATCATATCATCATATCGAAGCTTGGAGCACGTTACCCAAGCGCGTTCTGCAATGCACTGGTTGCCGGTCGAAAACAAATGTGTCACTAAAGCTATGAGTGACAAGTAGTGCACATTGGCCCTGGAAACTCTCTTGGGCCCTCAAAGGCGTTACAGAAGACGGGTAATAAAGAAGGGCAGGCAAGCAGAGTCCGTCGTCGGTCGAACCAGCGCTCACGTGACCACTCGGCGAAGGACATCGTTCTCCTCATCCATAATAACCGACGGGAAAGGTCTTGCCCAATAACCACAATAAAAGTAAATTAACAAAAAATAAAGAAATATGCAAACCTAAGGACTGTTAACGCCGACTCGTCTTTTCAATACACCTTTTTTTGTTCGCACGCCTTTTTCCGTCCAGCGGCAGTGAGGCCTCGGGGCCCCACCGCCCGCCTGTTTCACAAGCAAAAACGACCAGCCGCTGCGTGCCAGGCCGGCGAAGCTCCGGGTACCGTGCCTCCTTGCGGCGCCGCGCTACCGCAATGGCTGCGCCGTCCTCCTCGGCCGCGCGTGGCTGCGGTCGGCCGTCGCGACGGAGCGGAGCAACGAGCGTGGCGTCGCAGCACAGCGCTTCGCCCAAGCGCGTGGCGCCGTAAACAACAAGATCCAGGCGGCGCCTGTCCTGCGCGCTGACGCCTGGCCCAGAAGTGTTGGCTGCTGAGGGACAACCCTGCCCTCGGGCCCCAGACCTTCACGCGCGACGCGGACCCATGTTTTTGCTTTCCGCCATCCAGCCGTTTCACCGCGGCTTGACGGAAAAAGGTCCGGGGAAAAAAAGAAGAAAAAAAAAGGCCTCACAGTCCGGCGCCCAGCGGGCGTCCCATGCTTGTGCAAGCAAGGGGGCGCGGCGGGCCAACAGTCCGCACGCTGCCGCATGGTCGCCCAAGACATCGAGCACGACGCCGCACCCCGGGAACCCATCGCCTCCGCAATACCGGTGCGTGAGGGGCACTGCGAGGTGCAGGCGCCGGCGCAAGGCGACGTGCATGTGCGCCGGGGGCAGCGTGATTCCCGGGTCAGTCGGCACAGCCACAAGCCAAGCCCCCGCATGCGGGCCAGACTCGCTTGGCCGCATGTGTAGCAGAAGTTCGGTCTCGCAAAAATGGGAGTTGAGTGTGCGACACGCGAGAAGCTGCCAACCAATCGCCTGGTTCACTGTCAGCCGCTACAGCGGGACGCGAGGACGGACGCTCGGGCCAGTGGCGCTGGAGCGACCGCGCCGCTCGGCAGGCGCGCCAGGCGCGGCCGCGGCAGGCGCTTGGCGATCAAGCGCCGAAGCAAACTGCAACCCGCCAAGCACCTGTAAGCAGGCCTCCTGCGCCGGGGCTATGATGTAGCCGTCCGCCCGCGACAGAATGCGGGTGGCCCAAGCGAGGTGGACTCGCGCTCCAGACGGCAGCAGCAGCGTGGCTTGCTGCAGCTGTGTCGCCAAGACTGCAGCCCCATCAGCCGGTGCTGCCCTCCAGGAAAGCGAAAAAGGCGGATGGGGGAGAAGGCGCTGCGGCAGACAGCTCCGCGCGCGCCGCCTCCCACCACAGCGCTGCCCGCCGGTCAGCTCCCCAATGGGAAAGGGAATGTGCGCACAACCTGCCGGCAGCTGCGTGTAGCAAACGGCACGTACAGTGGCTCCCACGGCGCCCCCAAATGAGGCCCCGCCCGCTGCCACGCAGGCTTCGCCAGCTCTGCCGCGGCTCGCCAACCGCAACGCGGCTTTCAGGCTCAGAATCGGATGCATGGACTGGCTCAGTCTGGCGCTGGGGCACGAAAACGTCCGCGGGCGACTGCGGGCGCAGCAGGGCAACAGCTGACGGGGGAAGTCAGGACAGGGGGACAGTTGCACGTGAGCCGGCCAGCACCACAAGTGACGTCATGCTCCCACACCCGCAATGCGCCGCAGTCGGGGCACGCTGCGCCCGCCTCCGCTGCCACGCGCGCCTCCTCGCAATAACCGCGGGCACACCCATGCGCGTTGCCAAGCGGCTACGCCGCGCTCATGGCGCCGAGGGATTGGCGACCAATGCGCGGCGCGGTGCGGAAGTTCGATGAAACCAGGATCGCTTTGCCAGGGGCGCGCACGCACGGCTGCCAACCTCCGGCAGCAGTTAACAACGACATGTGCCGGCGCCTGCGGTTCCGGGGCGTCCTGGCCAGTGAACTTGACGCTGGCCCAGTCGGCGCGCCGGTCCGGAAGACGAGACGGCGGAT